AACCAACAATTTACTCTGTTGCATATTGTCCGGCGAGCATTTTATTTAGTGTTATTTGCGTGGCGCTGACCACAAAAACCGCAAAATTCATTTTCCATTTTGTTAGGCGGTGGGCTGTCCGTGTCTGTCTGTCTGTTGTGCGTGTCACAGCACTTGGCGTCAGTGGTTGTTTAGTAACTTCAAAAATTACTAATTGAATTCGAATCATATCTCTCGTTGATGGTTGTTGGGTTTTGTTACTTTTTTTTCGCAATTTAATTGCATTTGTTTTCTTTGGCGCTAATTGGGGAGGACGAGTAGGAAATTCAAGGGAATTAATTTCGGGGAAAATATATCAAAAAAATTAATGAGGACCACAAGATCTACTCATAGAAGATCAGAAGGTATTTTCATGTCAGACAAAGATGCCTTCTGATAGAAGACCAGAAGGTCTTCTCATAGGAAGCCAAAAGGTCTTCTTAAAGAAGACCAGAAGATCTTTTCATAGTATACCGGAAGGTCTTCTTATAGAAGACCAGAAGTTCTTCTCATAGAAGTCCAGAGGGTCTTCTCATAAAAGGCCAGAGGGTCTTCGCATAGAAGACCAGAAGGTCTTCTCATAGAAGACCAGAAGAAGGTCTTTTCATAGACACCAGAATGAGACGGGAAGGTCTTCTTATAAAAGACCAGAAGGAGATCTTTTCATTGAAGACCAGAAGAAGGTCTCATATGAAAATCAAAATTGTAGAGCCCGAGTAGTCATTTGCAAAGTCCTTCTAAAAATTCCGAATGGCAAAGCTCCATCTGAACTTTGAAAAAAATATTTAAGAAATTCGGACGATTCTTCAAAATATATTATTAAAATAGTCACATTTTGATCCTATGTTCCCATAGGTTAATAATCTGAAGAAGAAGTTGTAGCCCACCTTTCGGAACTTCTCTATTCATGAAAGACCTTTTGGAGGTCTTTCTTCAATTGAAAACCTTTCAGAATGTTGCTTTCCATGGAAGATCTATTGAAGATCCTATCTTCGTTGAGGGCTTTTCAAGGCTTTCTGACCACAGAAAATTGGTAGACGACTTTAAGAAGTTCTCCTTTCAAAAAGGACCTGTTGGCGGTTATTTTCCCTGGAAGACCATTGCAGTGTTCTTAAACGATGTATGATTTAATGTGAAACTACCCTATTAACCATTAGTTGATAAAATATCATTTAATGTGAACTTCCCTAATACTGATCATTTGTAGAACAGCTGATTAACATATGTAGCTTTAAGGATTGTTTCTGATATTGTTAGATTAAGTAAACCAAATCTAGGATTAAGTACCGTTATGTTATGTATATAAAGACGACAATTATGAAAGAGACTCGACGGACCTTACCAATTTTTGGAAAAGTAAAAATCAAGCTCTTAAGGTAAGAATACATAAAGCGCTTTTTTCGCTGACTTAAGTCATCGGCTGGCTTCTTCGTAGAGGAACAAGGGAGTTTTAGGTTGACTTAGTTCGATTTTAGCCCTGGGCTCCTTTGTTCATTTCCGAAGATGCCAGCCAAATAAGAGCTTTATTCCCACCTTTATTTTTGAGCCGAAGGAAGTTCATGGTTAGCAAAACAACAAGTTATGCCTGCAAATAACCTGAACAATTATTTTGGAGTTTTAGGTTGACTTATCCAGCCGATATTAAGCCGGCCAAAAAAGCGTATTATGAATTCTCACCTAATCCTTAAGCTGGGAATACATAAAGCGCTTATTTGGCTGGCTTAAGTCATCGGCTGGCTTCTTCGGAAATGAACAAAGGAGCCTAGGGTCAAAATCGAACTAAGTCAACCTAAACTCCTTTGTTCCTCTACGAAGGAGCCAGCCGAAGACTTATGCCAGTCAAATAAGCGCTTTATGTATTCCCAGCTTTACACCAAACACAAATTCTTCCTTCATAAGAATCATTTTAAAGTTCTAGCCATAAAAGTTCCCTTAAAGGCACCCACTTATTTAAAAAACCCCTAGATTATAACCCCTTGATATCATTCTTGATATCAAATCCTAATAACATTCCACCTCATTTACCCAACTCCCCTCGTTTAACCACCTTATTAAATTGCAAGTGTAATAAGTTCGCATGTGTGTTTGGTGTGTGCGAATGTGAGTGTTTCTGAGTGCGGCTAAAGACAGATTAATTCAATTTAATTGGTTAGCCAATCGATAAACCATAATCTCAAATATCGTTGGGCAGCAAAATTAAGTGTCAAATTAAACTGATTTCAAATGGAAATTTTGTTAACCGACACCAGCTGGCATTAAAACTGGCCGAATGCGAAATGAATTATATAAATTGATTGTGATTTTGTAATTAATAGCAATATTCGATGAGAATTTAGAAATTTGATCAAATGGGAGGATGAATGTTGACAGCATTAAGGTAAGAATACATAAAACGCTTTTTTGACAGGCTTAAGTCATTGGCTGGCTTCTTTGGAAAAGAATAAAGGAGCGGTGGAACAATATCGAACTAAGTCAACCTAAAACTCCTTTGTTACTCTACGAAGATGCAGGTAAAAAAAAACGTTTTATGTAATCTTATCTATAGAACTTTAAGACATTGTGGGAAGAACTTTTTTTAAAATGTTGTTATCTGGGGTTATGATATGTAGCAAATCGTCTTGATGCATTTTTTAGAAAGGAAAACCTTTCAAAGATTTTCTTTTCCAAAAAGGCTTTCTAAGAAACTCCATTCTAGTTTTTGCAAGCCTTGTTATTTACTTAGTAAACACAACTTAAACATTAAGGGGACTATAGATCGAAAAATTTCGATACGTTAGGGATCAATAGATAGATAGTTGTCCACCATTCCCACTTCCCTCAAAAAAACATTAGACCATTCCAAAGACTTCTGTGCATGGAAAGATTGTTTTCTGTGTTCATGAGTCTTCGTGAGGAACTTCTATAAGCAGGTGAGTTCATTTTTGAAAGTTTCTATAGTCGGACGATTTTAATTTGTTTATAAAAATAAATATAGCTTAAATATTAAGGGTTCTGTGGACCAAAAAGTTTTTTGATGTATAGCAGGGATCTTAAGACTTATAGTTTATAGCTTTCGTGGGACTTCTCTAGGGGAAAATCATTTCGTAAAAGACCTTTCGCAGGACTTGTATGAATAGAAAAATGAGTTTTATGCATTAGGAATATATTCTTAATATTATATTTCCTCTCTTATTTTATTTTTAAGCCTCGTCTTTAGAATATTAAACTCAGCTTAAATATTGTGGGTTCTATAGATCGAAAATTGTGCATGTATCACAGGAATCTACAAATTGATAATTATCCACCATTATCAATAACCTTTCCAATACTTTTAGACTACAGACCATGGTAGAAGAATGCAGGTCGTCGCATCGACACAGCTGTAGGGACAATTAAAGGTCAAACAAATTTTGGAATTGAAAAAATGTATATCATAACAACCTCCGATTGGCGTCGTATAGGAAAACATATAAAAATCTACTTGTTTTTGAAGAAACGTTTAACAAATTTTGACATATCATTTGTTCCCAAGCGTTGATGCATCTGCCTGTATTCTTCTACCATGCCAATGAAATTTCCGATCTATGATAGGGATTTTTTTTCAAATTTTTTTTTAACGGAATTGAATAATTTTAATTCAAAATTTTCAATTTTAAAATCGGTTTGACAGGTCTTGGTCCTAGCAGCTGTTTTGATGCGTCTACCTGTATTCTTCTATGACATTAAACACAACTTAAACATTAAGGGGTATATAGATCAAAAATAGCCCATGTATGGTAGGGATCTATAGATTAATAATCATCCATCTCAACGGCCTTAAGAATGTCTTTAGAAGGACGAAGGACTTCTCTAGAAGGAAATATAATCTTCGGTATGTTAAATTCTTCATTAGTGACTCCTATGGATAGGAGAATTCCTTATATTGATTGAAAATTGTCTATATTTAGGAGAGATATTTCAAAATTGTAGTAAACAGAGCTAAAACATAAAGGGGTTTATAGATCGACAAATGCCTATGTAGAGTAGGTATGTAGGAGGCCTTTTATGGATTGACTAGCAATTTAAATATTTTTAAGAATTGGTCGCAATCTCAAAGATAGATTGGACAAATTAAAGGCAAGGTCGAATAAAATAATAAAAAAATATATTTTTCGTTTTTGCTTTTTTGGAAATATTGTTTTTATTTAAAAACAAGTAAAGCAGCTGTAAGTACGGCAGGCCGAACTTCAAATGCCGAATTCGCAAAAATTTCGGTGAACAATTTCGCTAAAATCATCAAAATACCGAAAATGGGGAGGTACCATTATATGGGGGCTATATGAAGACGTGGGCCTGCACATACAATTTTCTGTCATAGGCTGTTGCATCGACTACGAACTTCAAATACCAAATTTGAAACAATTCCGATGAATAATGTCGCTAAAATCATCAAAATACCGAATATCGGGAGGTACCGTAATATGGGAGCTATACGCAGACGTGGACCTGCACAGACAATTTTCTGTCATAGACTGTAGTATCCATTACGAACTTCAAATACAAAATTTGAAACAATTCCGGTGAATAATGTAGCTTAAATCACCAAAATACCGAAGATAGGGAGGCAGCGTTATATGGGGGCTATACCAAAACGTTGACCTATATGGCCTGTTTTTAATACCAAAAGTCCTGCAGACATAATATACATTTGAGTAAAATTTTATCAACCTACGTCATTTCGTTCGGAAGCTAGAGTGATTTCCACAGCCAGACAAATGAACGGACATCGCAAAATCGACGTAGAATTTTATGCTGATCAAGAAAATAGATATGCTTTGTGGGGTCTAAAAAATCTTCGCCCATTTTTTTTTTCTTTCGCCACCAAGCTCAATGATTTTCCACCGAATATATTCAATATTAATCATTTGTTACTTAATGGTACCACCATGCGTATAATTGCTGTCATTACTCATACGCCCCTTTCTAACATCTGCAATTAAAATTCAATTTCCCTTGACTTTCAGAACTTTTTAAAAATGATTGACAATGAAACACTGCCCGCAGCCACAACGACCACAGGGACATATTATTCCTATACCATACCGGGTATGGATATTAGCAGTGGGTCCATGCTCTTTACGCTAGTCAGTCAGTTTATGGGGGTGATAACACCCAATGAGTTGCCGTTAGGTAAGTGAAAACTAACAGATAAATAAATTATTCAAAAAATTAATAATCTTTTCAATTTCAAGGACAAGTTAGACACTTGCTACACTCAAATCTAACCCTATTCGAGTTCGGCCTTAATGTAAGTATCTCTAGAGACCTTATGGAAATCCCTCGACTTACAAATATTAATATTATCCCCCTTGTAGGCCATAAAAGTGGAATCCGGTTTCATAGCCCTGATGAGCATATTTATGATCTTGGCCGTGGTACCCATATTGGCCACCTGCTGTTGGTGCTGCTGCAGTCGCCAGCCGGGCGATGATGAAGAATTTGCCCGCAATGCTGCCCGCATGAACGAATCCCTCGAAGATGGTTTAATGTGTCGTAAAAGTGCATCCATTACCACACTGTGGATAGTTTTCATATTGTTAAGGTGGGGTTTAAACCTAAGGGACATAAACACGAGTTACCATTGATACAGCTTTTGTTCTCTCTCTCTCTCTGCCTCTTTCCAGCTTAAGCGATTTGTGCATCTTTTATGCCAACAGCCGTTTGGCCAGCACCGTGGAAATGACACCCGAAATGATCAAGTCCACCGTGCACGACATGGAGGTATTCCTGAAAGACACCCATTTACAAATCAAACATAAACTTGATAACGGCTTTCATGTTTCGGTGGAAAAGGTTGTCAAGGATTTGGAAGGTTAGCTGCCGCCTCCTCCCTCCTTTGCATCATTTTTGCCACATTAATTCGTGGTTATTTGTTCGTGGCATTCTTGGCCATCACATGGCCCATAAATTTTCTTATGGCCAAGTTTTCGTGTTTTCATGCCATCATTCATTTATTGCCATTTCTTTATTTTGGTTGCAATTTTTATATCCTCCATTTTTTTTTTCAATTTTAGATGTGGATGTCTTACTTGGTGAACCAATTCAAGCGGAAATTTCAGCACACACTGGCATTGAGTTGGCCTATGATTCCTTGGCAACCTTAAGCCTGGGTAAGTCAGAAGAAAAAAAACGAAAATAAGAAAGTTTTTTTCTTTATGGGATTGGAGAGACAAAGCAACAAAATAATAGCCAAGCCAAGTTGGTAGAAGAGACCTGGGAACACTGGTCAGAGATCCAAATTTAGGACAATATATTTTCAATATATTTGAACACTTTTTTTCTGCTTAAAAAGGCCTAGAAGTTTTTTTTTTTGTTAAAGAGAGAGAGAAAGAGAAGATTTTATAAAAACAAGTCTAAAAAGTTATTTCTTTCCATTTCTTTCTTTCTAAGATATTTAAGAGGCCTTCCACATATTTTTGTGGATATACAATTCTTTTTTTAAGACTTTTTTAAATAATAGGCTATCTTCAGGTATTCTTTGGGAGAGGTTTCCCAAAAAATAAATAAAACATGCCATCCTACTTTTTTCTATTTAATATGAAGCCATGTCATGATGTAGAGGAAGGTTTTTTTTTAAAAAAATAATCCCTAAAATATGCCATTCTACTTATTTTCCAATTTAATTTAAAGTCTCTCATGTGAATAGTGAACAGAGCTTAAAGATTAAGGGGTCTGTAAATCGAAAAATTACCGAATTGCGGGATTTAAAGATCGATAGTTATTTTCCATACACATTACCTTTTAGAAGACCATTAGACCACATAAAGGACTTCTGTACATGAAAATGTTATCTCCTATCTGCATAAGTCTTCTTCTCTCTTAAAAAAGTTATTTAAAAAAAGACAATTTCAATTCTTTTCTATCTTAATTTTTAAGCATCTTAGAGTATTAAACACAGCTTAAACATTAAGGGATCGATAGATCGAAAATTGCCAATGTATATAAATATAGATGATCTTCCACTATTTCCACAAAACCATCTAGGAGAGCCTTCGAAGAACTTCTCGGGATTATAAAATCATTTTGTAAGGACTTCCATGGATTGATTTATTTTCATTCAATTTTCAAGCCGTGTCATTGGAATATTAAATACAGTTTAAACATTAAGGGATCGATGGATCGAAAATTGCCTATGCATAATTAGGAGTGATATTAAGCCACCATTGCAATTTATGCAATGCAATGCATTGAAGACCTGTCTTTTGTGGCTCCTCAGGATTATAAAATCATTTTGTAAGAACTATCATGAAAAGAAGGAGGTATTTTATGAATTGATTTATTTTCATATAATTTTTAAATCACGTCATTAGAATATTAAACACAGCTTAAACATTAAGGGATCGATAGATCGAAAACTGGCAATGTATGGAAAGGATGTAAATATAGATGATCTTCCACTGTTTCTACTAAACCATCTAGAAGAGCCTTCGAAGGACATCTCCGGATTATAAAATCATTTCTTCCATGGAAAGAAGGAGGTATTTTATGGATTGATTTATTTTCATTCAATTGTCAAGTCTCGTCATTAGAATAGCAAACACTGCTTGAGCATTAAGGGATCTTTAGATGGAAAATTGACAATGTTTAGAAGGGATATAAATAAGGGTGATATTCCATCACTTTTTTATACCATCTAGAAGAGCCTTCGAAGGACTTTTTCGGATTATAAAATTATTTTAAAAGGAGTGAGGTATTTTATGGATCGATTTATTTTCATTTAATTTTCAAGTCACGTCATTAGAAAAGTAGCACAGCTTTAGGGTTCAATAGATCGAAAATTACCTATGTACAGAAGGGATTTACAGATCGATATTAACCCACCATTTTCATTACATTTTTCAAGACCTCCGGAAGGACTGCTATGAAAAGGAGATCTTTTATGGATTGGTAACTTCCTAAAAGTCTTTTTTGGTCGTCTTTCCCAAGAAGACGCTAAAAAGACCTCTGATCAAAGATAATCTCCTATAGGATTTACATAGATATATAGGCTTCTCAAGCATTTAAATAGCCTAGAAAAGACGAAGGGCAAAAATTCTTTTATGACCCTTTATTGATCCTCTAGAAATAAAAGACTTTAAGAAGAACTTTAATACATTCTAAAGATTTTCTAGGAATAGAAGACGTTCTAATAGGGTTTATAGGAAAAAGGCATTCACAATGCCCTCAAAAGAATTTGTGGGAATAGAGGTCCTAAATAGAGGGGCTTTTAAATCGATGCACGGTAGAGGGCTTTTAAATCGATGCACGACATTATTTAATTTTAAATGGCGCAATAGTAATGCGATGGGGTGAGAATACATAAAACGCTTTTCTGGCTTATGTCATCGGCTGGCTTCTTTGGGAAAGTACAAAGGAGCATAGGCCCAAAATCGAACTAAATCAACCTAAAACTCCTATGTTTCTCTACGAAGAAGCCAACCGATGACTTAAGCCAGTCAGAAAATCGTTTTATGTATTCTCACCTTTAGACCAGCTATTCTCAGACGAAATGTCAAATTTTGTTTACGTTATGTTTTCTGTTTATTTATCTTACGTACTTTGATTCAATTCACAATAAGTGTTTTGACAACTCATTTAGATGATGATTGTTCCATGACTTCTTCTATAGACATATAATTTTTTCCGCCTCCAAAATATACCTTCCTATTCTTCTTTTAAATTAAGTCCCCATTTTTTATCACCTCTTACCCACTGTTCACATTAGAAAACTCCATAAATTATTATTAGAAAAGGGAAAAAACCTATAACATTGAAAAATAAAGTATAGCAATTATTATCCATGTTTTCGAATAACATTTTCCCAATACAAAAACAAAATTACAAATTGTGTTTGACCCACTTATCGAACACAAAACAGATTTATACCTTCAAACATTTTACTCGCAATAACCTTCAAAAACGATAATAATAATAATATAACCGTATACTTTGAGTCATTATTTATAATGGTATGACATGCCAGAATGGTTGTAGGTATTAAAAATATACTGGTGCTGAGTAGTAGAAATTGTTTTTAAAATTTACCAAATGGTGTGTGAAAAGGGGGCAGAAAATATTCACTCTTCAAAGAGGGGCAAGTTGACAAAACCATTTTTCAGAAACAGTTTATTCGGGAAGATAATCTAGGTATTTGAATGGAGATATTTTTATAACTGTAATTTTAGTTTCTTTTACTGTAGTATTTTCCCTAATTAAAGTCTTGTAACTTGGATAATAAACTGAGCATAAACATTGTGGGATCTATAGATCGAAAAATCGCTAATGTGTAATGGGGGTTTAAAGAGTGATAAGTGGCCGTCATTCTCAACAAAGCCACATAAAATATGTATAATAAACTGATCGTAAACACTGTGGGATCTATAGATCGAAAAATTGCTAATGTGTAATAGGGATCTAAAGAGTGATAATTGACCGTCATTCTCAATAGAGCCACATAAAATATGTTTGTATTGTTTGCTTTCTTATTGCAACATATTGAAAATTGAACACTACATATATAAATGCCTTATCAACTTAATTAATTTAATTTTCTTATTTTGGCCAAAATTCCTTTATTATTGAGTTATTGATGTTTTAAGCCGACTATGTTGCCGACATTTAATATATATCTCTCCTAATTTAATCTTCATATTTCACATCCTGTCATATTATTACTATTATTTTTTGTCATTCCCATTCCTCTTACAGCCAATGCCGAACTTATTTATCGTGTCCTAATGCTACAAGAGACCGTTGGACGAGCCTTGAAAATTTCCCAAGAGGCTTCGGCTCGCATGGAAGAATTACAAATACAATTGTCTGTGTTGCAACGCCAGTGCACATACCGAGATCGACCGCTATGCGATACGCTGCGTATAAGGAGTTTTGAGGAGAATGGTATTATTGATGCTTTGAAAACGGTAAGAAAATAAAAAAAAAAATATTGATTGGATTATTGTCAATGTAAACACATTGGAAAAAAAACTGGGAAATATATATGAAATTTCTAAGGAGATTTCTTTGTCCTGGGTGTCTTGGTCAAATGTGTGTCGTCTTCTTGAGTATATAGTGGGTGTGCTTGTCTGTGTGTGTGATTGTTATCATTTCCTTATTACAATATTGGAATTTTATGCGGATGAATGTATGTGTGTGAGCGTGAGTGTGGTATATGATTGAGTGCCAATTGGCTAAGAAAAATAATGCTCAGGGATGGATACTTGAAGTTGAAGCCAAGACAGAATAAACATTTGGGGCGTTGTTACATAGTTTTGTGTTGACCCCGGAAATTAAAATTATTTGGAAGTCCGTGCCGTAATACAGTTTTGTTGTTGTCATTTTCGCCATCTGTTTAATGCGCTAAAAACGCCAGTGCCTCACCTACTTTTCTGGCTTTGCAAATGTCAAATATAAAAGGATTCCAAAGGAAGTCTGATATTCTGACGCCGTTGTCTTTTAAAAGTTGGATTTGACGCAGAATCATTTTTTATCCCTTAATGCTGCGACGCAGATTTTGCGCCTTAAGGTGAGAATACATAAACGCTTTATTGACTGGCTTAAGTCATTGGCTGGGTTCTTCGTAAAGGAACAAAGGAGTTTTAGGTTGACTTAGTTCGATTTTAGTACCACGCTCCTGTTTTCTTTTCCGGAAAGGCCAGCCGATGGCATAAGCCAGTCATGGTAGAATTAAAAAGGTCAAGTCGAGCTATTTTTTTCAAAATTATTCATTTGACAGCAACTCATTGCCAAAATTTATATTTATAAATCCATTGTGTACACAGAAATCAGAGATGGGAACCTGTTTTTTTCATTCGGTGAAATTTGACAAGGGAAATCACAGAAAATGCAGAGATGGATAGTCTTATTTGAAATGACGGTAACTTCTTAATTTTACCATGGACTAATCCAGAAATTTAATAATATTTTTTTTAATTTCATTTAAAAAAAACCAGCAGCAATTCTCCAAAGTCGTTCTGGCCATGGTAGGAGAATAAAGGTAGATGCATCAACGCTGGGGAACATGAATATGTAATTTTTTTATGTTTCTTCAAAAATAAGTAGATGCTTTCCTATATTAGTCTATCGGAGGTTGTTACGATATGCCTTTTTTACCCATTTTTGCAAATTTGAATAATTTTTCATCCAAAAATTTCAATTCTGACATTTTATTGTCCCAGCAGCTGTGTCAATGCAACTACCTGTCTTCTTCTACCATGGTCCTGACATAAAAAAAAACTGATTCGGATACGCAAAATTGTCGGCTCATGTGTAAAATTCCAGTTTGGCCAGCTATAAAATTAATTAGTGCGAAAATGCAGCTCTGTAGAAATTTTAGGGATCTATAGGTGCGTTTATGGTAAAAATGAAATAAACGTAGGAAACGCAAACTCTTAGGAAGAGAGGGAAATTTGCATCGTTTTTGGACCTATTAAAGGCCTAAAGAGGAAAGTGTCTGCCTAGTTGGTCTTTTGTGTTGTGTGAAAGAACGATTTTCCTCGTCAACAGAAATAGAGAAAAAAGGAGGGACTTTTTTTCGTGTTTTTTTTTTTTATTTATTGAAACGCAAAATATAAGCCAAGCATTTATTCTGTTATCAGTTTTGAATAGTTGACTAGTTAACACTTAATTTAATCGTTTTTATGACTTCTTTTTGTTTATATTTTCAGCTACAAGAGGATCAAACCATATTTCGAATGCGTTACTTGGGTGAAATTGAATTTGGTGCAACGGTTAAGAATTTAACCTCCGAAGTTGGAATGTCACGTTCGGTGTTTAGTAATTTTCCGCAGCAAGTGAAAATGGATACGGCCTACGAAAGGAATTGTAAGTTGAAGCGAGTCAATGTGAATTCGCCTCTTTATTCTCTTTTATTAAGTCGTTTAACAAGATCAGCTGATTGTCTGTTAAATCCCGTTAATAAACTTAAAGTACGTTTACATATAAATCTTTATCCAGGTTAACACTAATAATTGACCAATCACAATGAAAATATTCAATTTGGTCAATTATTACAATTAACCCGGATAAATATTTGTGTGTAAACACTCTATTAATCTCGTTAATAATTTCTAGCCCATCGGGTTCATATAAAATTTCTTGAGCATTCAATCTTAAAGGTGAGAATACATAAAACTATTTTTTGACTGGCTGGCGTCGACTGCCTTTTTCATAGAGTAAGGGTGCAAGTACATAAAAACTTGAAGCCATGGCTAGGCATGTTAATGTCAAATTATAATGGAAAACGACGGCAGGATTTTAGCGGCTCTGTAATCCCTTTGTGAAATGTCACAAAATATGCCTAGCCATGACTTCAAGCTTCTTATGTAACTATACCTTATTAAAGGAGTTTTAGGTTGCCTTAGTTCGATTTTGGCCCTAAGCTCCTATGTTATTTTATAAAGAAGCCAACCGATGTCTTAAGCCAGTCAAAAAAAAAACATTTTATGTATTCTCACCTCAATTCTAATTTTCCCACATAGCTAATAACTCGTTTTCCTCCTCCTTTTCTACTCCCGCCCACAGATACCCTGCAACAATTGGAAACGATACGTCATCGAACCACAACAAATGCTCAAATGTTAACAGCAACCATAAATGTTTTGCTCGGCCGTTTGGAAGGCGTCTGGGAGTCGGTGAGGCCACAATATGAAAAACTACAAGATTGGTCCAATGTCTATTGGACCACCGGATGGGTGGCCGCCATGGCTGTGGTCTGGATACTGATCTTTATGCTGATGGCCTACTGTTGTTTTCTATGCGAATCCAATGTTAAGGCCGGCGTTTTACTGTTCATAGCGGTTATTATCATTTGTCTGAGCTGTATTGGTCTGACCATTTACGGCGTACTGTCGCTGGCCATTGGCGGTAATGCCGAAGTATTTCTGTGTAAACCGTTGTATGATGCAGGTGTCAGTGTTGTCAATCGCATGGATACAACAACGGGCATGACGCCGTATGACTATAATGCCAATAGCAACAACAACAACTATAATGCCTATGATATGCTGGGTAAGTTATTCGATAAGCCTGGTTATGTTTATGAAAATGAACCGGAAGTGGGCATTATTGGTGAGCTTTTACGTCCGGATGGAGTGAATCGGCCAATTGTCAATGTTAGCTTAGCCTCGGCAATAAGGTATGTGTTTTATTTTATTTTTTTGGAGTATTCAAGTAAGCTATAAGGCCTGAAAGCTTGAGAGGAATTCTAAATTTGAAGTAGAAGGGCTAGAAATTGTAAGTGTTTCTTTTTTTTGTGACTCATGATTGCATGAGTATACCTCTCTTATTGTATCATTGTTTAACCTATAAGTTCCATGGTCAAATTGAATATGCCTGTCAATTAACACGCGTATGTAGACGTACTATAATTAACAATTAAAATCCGCTGAATTTATCATGGTAGAAGAATATAGGTAGATGCAACAACGCTTGGGAACATTAAAATGTCAAATTTAAAGCGTTTTGTCAAAAATAAGTTGATCTTTATATGTTTTCTTACACGACGCAAATCGGAGTTTGTAATGATATGTACTTTTCGACAATTTTTACAAATTTCAATTTCTCATTCAAGATTTTCAATTTCAAAATCGGTTTGACAGTTCATTGTCCTAGCAGCTGTGTCGATGCGACTACCTATATTCTTCTACCATGGAATTTATTATATGTAAACATGCTTTTAAACAACAAAGGAATTTAGGGTGACCTAGTTTGAATTTGGCCCACTTGTTTGAACTAGGCCACCCTTAATTCCTTTGCTGCCATCTCACGATACGTTTTTTATGTTTGTGCTTTCACTTTTATTATCCATGTGTATTTTCGTGTGTATGTCAAAATTGCAAATTTTACATATGACTCATATTTCTTGCTATCACACACTTGCATAGGTTTTTATACCCACCACCATAGTATGAAGAATATATTAAGTTTGTCATTCCGTTTGTAATATATATTCTTGATCAGCATAAAATTTTATGTCGATTTACCGATGTCCGCCCGTCAGTCCGTCTGTAGAACTCACTCTAGCTTCCGAACCAAATGAAGTAGATTGACAAAATTTTCCTCAAATCTATATTATGTCTGCAGGACTTTTGGTATTGAAAATGGGAAATGAAGATCTACGTTTTGGTATAGCCCCCATATAATGGTACCTCCCTATTTTCGGTATTTTGATGATTTTAGCGATATTATTCACCGGGATTGTTTCAAATTTGATATTTGAAGTTCGTAACGGATACTACAGCCTATGACAGAAAATTGTCTGTGCAGGTCCGAGTCTTCGTAGAGCCCCCATCTAACGGTACCTCCCTATTTTCGATATTTTGATGATTTTAGCAACATTATTCACCGGAATTCTTTCAAATTTGGTATTTGAAGTTCGTAACGGATACTACATCCTAAGAGAGAAAATGAGCCATGTAGGTCCACGTCTTCGTATAGCCCCCATATAACGGTACCCCTCGATATTCGGTATTTTAATGATTTTAGCGACATATTTACCGGAACTACTTCAAATTTGGTATTTGAAGTTCGTAATGGATACTACATCCTAAGAGAGAAAATGAGCCATGTAGGTTCACGTCTTCGTATAGCCCCCATATAACGGTACCCCTCGATATTCGGTATTTTAATGATTTTAGCGACATTATTTACCAGAATTTTTTCAATTTTGGTATTTGAAGTTCGTAATGGATACTACATCCTAAGACAAAAAAAGAGCCATGTAGGTCCACGTCTTCGTATAGCCACCATTTAACGGTACCCCTCGATATTCGGTATTTTAATGATTTTAGCGACATTTTTTACCGGAACTACTTCAAATTTGGTATTTGAAGTTCGTAATGTATACTACAGCCTACCACAGCAAATTGTTTGTGCAGGTTCACGTCTTCGTATAGCCCCCATATAACGTTACCTCCCAATATTCGGTATTTTGATGATTTTAGCGAAATTATTCGCCGTAATTGTTTCAAATTTGGTATTTGAAGTTCGTAATGAATGCTACAGCCTAATACAGAAAATTGTCTGTGCAGGTCCAGGTCTTCGTGTAGCCCCCATATAGCAGTACCTCCCCATATTCGGTATTTTGATGATTTTAGCGACATTATTCACCGGAATTGTTTCAAATTTGATATTTGAAGTTCGTAACGGATACTACAGCCTATGACAGAAAATTGTTTGTGCAGGTCCACGTCTTCGTATAGCCCCCATACAACGGTAATTTGATGATTTTAGCTACATTATTCACCTATTTTTTTCAAGTTTCGCATTTGCATATTGTAATGGCTTATGACAAAATTTGCCTAAGCAGGTCCATGTCGTCATATAGACTCTAATATATAGGCCACATTGGGTATTTTGAAAATTTTAACAAAAAATTTTTAACGGATTTAATTTTTTTGAAAATTGGCAAATTCTTTCCAAATGGTAAACGGTATTCAAAGTTCGGCCCGGCCGAAATTACAGCTTTTTAACTATAATTTTGAAAAATTTGTAAACATATGATTGCATGACTATACTTTCTTAATTCTACCATCGCCAAAATGTTCCATAATTTAATCATACCTCCATTGTCCATAACCTTTTATTTATTTATGGTTAATATTTATTCTCCTCATACTCCTCTATTAGAGCTACGAATACAGACCAATTAGTCAAGATACTGTACGTGTTTCCTTGTTTTTTGCAAAACGAAACCCACCCCCTGCCCCAAACAAAAAAGATAGGAAACTTCAAAAACCTCCCCTCCCCTACACATGAGTAAAATCAATGTCTCATCCCTGTCACATAGCTATACTCTATGAAACATATTCAGCTATTGAATATCTTTGTCAGCTCCTTTCAATTTAAACTGAATACCCTGGTAATGACAAATTGAGAAAATAATTAAAATTGAAACAATTCTGCACCAGTCCCATATGGATGATAACCCGTTGGAAACAAACGCAAAAGGGACCTTTGTCCTATCTTTCTTATTTGAGCAAGCACTTCTCTCCCCAAACCGCCCTCCCCCTCTCTGAAAAGAATAACCAAAACACCTTTGCTATGAAACGACCCTCTAACTGTCACCTTTGTACCAACCAATCCATCCATGTATCTTCAATGCCACTAATGATTCCAACAACAAAAAAACTTATTTTTATCTGCAAAAATTTTACAACTACAACTCACACAATTACTACTTGTCCGATGATGATGACTGAATGCCATCACAACAACAACAATAATAACAATAACATCAACGGAACACAAATTTTGGTGCTTCAACATCGCTGGTGTCTGTGTGTGTGTGTCTGTCTGTCTTCTCTTATTGAATTTCATGGCAACCATCTACGCTTTCAACTGCTATCTTCTCCATCTCTCTCTCGCCACACAAATTCTCTCCTCTCCAGAGGTTGTGAAAAAAACGAAGCATCGTACAATGTCTTTCAATTGGATGCATTCGTTAATACAACGGCAATTTCCAATTTGAAACAATTCCCCAAAGTCACGCAAGCCATCGATTCCATAGATGTATCCGAGCGCACCCTGCTGTCGCTGACACAGACCATACAAAGTATCCTGGAGAGTATGCTGCAGACGTCGTCATTTAATTTGACCACATATCGTACCACAATCGGAGCACCAACACCGGAAAAAGATTTGGCGACATTCATAGATCAAATGCAGAGGGTGGCACTGCAGGTAAGTACGGCGAGTGAGTGGGTGGGTGGGATCACATGATTCTGTAAAGTGTAATGTAAGATAATTGATGATGATTCATTAAATCAAATAAAAATTTGAAAAGAGATGAGGTTCGTAATGGGAAAGGGTTTTATATTTGAGCAAAGCGCCTGGAGGTATGCAATGTTTTAGTGATGCCTTAAATATTTACTACAACAGGGGAATTTAGCTAATCTAAAATAGATGGCGTCTAGCTTCAGATTGACGTCTAGCAGATTGCTTATCTATCGGCAGTAGATTATCCCGTTGCTCATCAACTTCGCAAGTAGATAACGCCGGAGTTCAACTACTCTGCAGTAGATGGCCATGAATTTTAACTACTCGGCAGTAGATGGTCCCTGGGCTCGCCTACTCTACAGTAGCTAGTCCCAGGGCTCATATACCCGGCAGTATATGGCCCCAGGGCCCATCTACTCAACAGTAGCTGGCCGCGGGGTCCATCTACTCCACAGTAGCTGGCCGCAGGTTCCATCTAATCCACAGTAGCTGGCCGCAGGGTCCATCTACTCCACAGTAGCTGGCCGCAGGGCCCATTTACTCCACCGTAGCTGGCCCCAGGGCCAATCTAATCCACCGTAGCTGGTCCCAGGTCCCATCTACTCCACCGTAGTTGGTCTCAGGGCCCATCTACTCCACCGTAGCTGGTCCCAGGGCCCATCTACTCCACCCTAGCTGGCCCCAGGGCCCATCTACTCCACCCTAGCTGGCCCCAGGGCCCATCTACTCCACCGTAGCTGGCCCCAGGGCCCATCTACTCCACCGTAGCTGGCCACAGGGCCTATCTACTCCACCGTAGCTGGCCACAGGGTCCATCTACTCTGCAGTAGCTGGTCCCAGGGCCCATCTATTCTGCAGTAGCTGGTCCCAGGTCTACTCCACCGTAGCTGGCCCCAGGGCCCATCTACTTCACCGTAGCTGGTCCCAGGGACCATCTACTCCAACGTAGCTGACCCCAGGGCCCATCTACTCCACCGTAGCTGGCCCCAGGGCCCATATACCCAACAGTAGATGGCCTCAGGGCTCAGATACTCCACCGTAGCTGGCCCCAGTAGCTGGTCCCAGGGCCCATCTATTCCGCAGTAGCTGGCCCCAGGACCCATCTACTCCACAGTAGCTGGCCGCAGGTTCCATCTACTCCACAGTAGCTGACCGCAGGGCCCATCTACCCAACAGTAGATGGCCTCAGGGCTCAGATACTCCACAGTAGCTACTCAGCAGTAAATGGTCCCTGGGCTCATCTACTCTAAAGTAGATGGCCCCTGGTTGCTTCTTCTGCAGGGTAGATGGACCCTAGACTAATCTACTCTACAGTAGCTGGCCCCTGGGTTCATCTACTCTACGTTGATGGCTCCTAGGCTCATTTACTCTACTTAGATGACTCCTAGGCTCATCTACTGTACAGTAGCTGGCCCCTGGGCCCATCTACTCTACAGTAGCTGGCCCCAGGGCTCATCGGTGTAGATTGCCCCTGGTGTAATCTACTTGGGTTTTCTGTAAGAATAGACCCTAGTTAAGTAGGATTTTCCATAGGAAACTTCGAATTAGTCTACCAACTTATTTTATGGGACCTGATACCTTGGCCTTTCCACATTGGGAAAATGTCTCCCTTCCCTCCCAACTCTTCGCTGTCACAATTTCACATTCCGTTCAGTTCAGTTTTTTTTCACATTTCATTCCGATTTCATTCAAAGAAGACATTAAGAATACCAACAAGATTCTATTCATGTCCGGGCATGTCCACATAGATTCCATGTAATTGACCTGGTTAGCCAGGTAAATAAACAACATCATCATCATTTCTGTATGGACCCGACGAACGCACTGGGACACTAACACCAATAAACCGGTTTTTGCAACAGAAACAATTTAATTCCCAGGGCATTCCAACACCGTACCCCACACACACACGTTCCCTCTCTCTTCCTCCGACCCTCCCTCCCCCTTGCCAAGCAGACTTACATTGGTTATTACCAAAATTTTGTTTGATTCCATTCAGTTTTGTGGGCTGTTGGTTGGATGATTGAGTCCAATCGCCTGGACTACACACTCGACCATTGTCCGGACTCATATGTATGAGCTCTTCGGCTGTGTAAGCTGATTGCTTGGGTGGCCAGGGAGCTATAAGGAAGAGTTTCAAGGAATGTGATTTTTGTTCGCCGCTGGCTGGCGTAGTGTGTGGTGTGACTGACATCTGCTTTTTTCCGAAAAGCTTAGAGAAAATCACATTCAACTTGTTTTGCCCTCCCAATGCCCATGGCATATCCTTGGCCATAGAAATTTCTTTGGGTTCACATTGCAGAAGGAGGATAGCTATTTTAATTTTAGTTTTTAGTTGTTCTTCCCGCAGTTGTTTTTGTTTTTGCTTGTTCTGATTGGAATTGTACAACTTGTTACCATTTATCTGCAGATACAAGACGTGGCAACATCCTCACGTATGACAACACTTGGCAGTCGTTCGAAACGTTTACAATCTTCAATTCTGCAGCCATTGGAGCAGTTGCAGAATGAAATACTCTATCATCTGACAGCACTGGAATTGCAAAGGGACCCCTGGGCCAAGCAGGTCAATCAGACATTGAATCATTTGCGCAACATACAGGAGTATCTGGAGAAGACGGCCGGGGAGATATGTGACAATCAGACACGAATCTATACCGAAAGGTAAACAGAAGCCATTAATTAAATCCGGACATGATTTATGTTTCCATTTTGTTTTTCATTTTTTTTTCCGAATTTTTATTTCTTGGCACAGACTGAAAACCTATTTGGCCAGCGACAAGGCCACAATGTCTTCACAATTGGGTGATACCACAGCCAAGTGTCGCCCGTTCTTTGATATCTTTGATGCAAATCGCATATTTCTTTGTCGAAACATGATCGATTTTGTCAATGCCTTGTGGTTCTTCCCATTTTTGACATTGCTACTGTGGTCCGTTGCGACGCCGGTGGGTTTGAATCTAATCACCTTGCAGCGCAAATTGACCACACTGAAGCAGATACGTTTACGCGGTGGCGGTGGTGGAGATCGGGGTCGCAGACGTGAAAGGGATTCGAGTACGTCACGAGAGCGCAGCACTAGCAGCGGACGACGAAAACCGGCACCATTGTAAGTCGTAGATGAGATTTTGAAAAATTAAAGTAGGTTTACAGGTACAAGATCTCTATCAGGGGTTTAGGTGAGAGTACATAAAAGGTGCAAGTACATACGAAGCTTGAAGTCATGGCTATGCATATTTTGTGACATCTCATAAAGGGATTACAGAGCCGCACTAAAATCCTACCGTCGTTTTCCATTATAGTTTGAAATTAATATGCCTAGCCATGAATTCAAGCTTTTTATGTTCTTGCACCTAAACAGCTTGAAGTCTTCGCATGACATATTTTTTGACATATCATAACGGGATGTCAGAGCCGCTCTCAAATCCTGCCGTCGTTGTTCCTTATAATTTGACATTAAAATGCCTAGCCATGCTGTCAAGCTGCTTATGTACCCTCAACTTTAATCCTGATAATTGACCAATCACACAAGATATAGCCATAGGTTTACGGACACAAGATCTCTACCAGGGGTTAAGGTGAGAGTACATTAAGGGTACAAGTAGATACGAAGCTTGAAGTCATGGCTAGGCATATTTTGTGATATTTTATGAAAGGATTACAAAGCCGCACTAAAATCCTGCCGTCGTTTTCCATTATAATTTGACATTAAAATGCCTAGCCATAACTTCAAGCTGTTTATGTACTTGCACCTAAGTAGCTTGAAGTCTTCGCATGGCATATTTTGTGACATATCATAACTGGATGCCAGAGCCGCACTCAAATTTTGCCGTCGTTGTTTCTTATAATTTGACATTAAAATGTCTAGCCATGCTGTCAAGCTGCTTAAGTACCCTCACCTTCAATCCTGATAGTTGACCACTCACGGGAAACACAAAATTAAAATTGTTGTGATTGATCAAATTTCAGAGTCATCCCGGATAGCGATTTTGTGTGTAAACGTGCTATTAAACCTAAAACAGATCAAGGCTTAAATCATGGTAAAATTAAAAAGGTAAAATTATTTCAAATAAGCCTATCCATCTCTGCATTTTCTGTAATTTACCTTGTCAAATTTCACTGCAAAGAAAAAGGGTTACCATCTCTGATTTGTGAGTAAACAATGGATTTGTAAATATAAAATTTGACAATGAGATGTTGTCAAATGAATAATTAAAAAAAATTAAACATTTAATTTCTTAATTCTACCATGATTTTAATCGAGACTTCGGCTCATGGTAGAAGAATCCAGGTAGATGCATCAACGCTTGGGACCATTGATATGTCAAACAATTTTAAATGTCTTTTCAAATATAAGTAGATTTTTATATGTTTTCTTATACTTCGTCATTCGGTGGTAATTATAATACGCATTTTTCAAACAATTTTTACAAATTTTAATAATTTTTCATTCAACATTTTAAAATTCAAAATTAGTTTGACAGTTCATTGTCCCCGCAGCTGTGTCGATGCGTCTACCTATATTCTTGTACCATGTTTCGGCGTGAGAATACAACACTGTTGCCAGTCTTGGCTGACAAAAGTGTGGCAATAGCAACAGTGTTGCATTTTCACGCCGAAATCACGTTTTAAGCTTTAATCTGTTTCACCCTTTAAAGTACGTTTACATAGAAAGTCTTTACCCGGTTTAACCAATTAGCAAATTGGCCAATCACAATAGATTTAACTATAGAAAACATAAATTAATATTATTGTGATTGGTCAGTGATTATCAAAGTTAATTCTTGTTGAGATTTTGCTATGTAAACGTTCTATTAGACATAAATATTAAAATATATTTTCCTTAGGCGCCGCACTGCCACCGAAGAAACCTTGGACATCGATGACATTGATGCAGTGGGTCAACAACAAACGCCGGTACGCAGCCGTAGTCAACCGTAAGTAGGGCATTAAATTCATTATTTTGAATTATATAATTATTTGATGTTTTTTGAATTCTATAGAAGACGCCCCGAACCGGAACCTGAAGATAATTGGCGCTCACCTGGCCCGATACGGGCTCGTTCGCGTGATCGCACATCATATGAACGTGAACAGCCACGGGCCAAGCCACCTATGTGAGTAACACTGGTAGTATTGAGAACTCTGAAACAATTTTTTAAATAATCCACTTAGTAAATCCGACAGTCCTTCAAAATACATTCCTAAGAAGTTTACCAAAAATAGACTTTGAAATATATTCCCAAAAATTCTGAAACTATGGCTCTGATAGTCCACAATTGTATGTCTGATAGTCCTTAATGTCATCCAATATCATTCTTAAAAAAACTTCACAATGGCAACTCTGACATATTTTCACATCACAAATAATAGGGCTCGCTGTGATCGAAAATGACGTATGCACCATAATAGCAATGAGTTGTCAAACATTTTTGGAAATCTAAATTTTGAATGAAAAAATATTGAAATTAGTGTTGAAAATCAAATATCATACAAACCTCTGAACCATGGTTAAACATGGTATTATGTGTAAACGGTTTATTTACACCAAATGTATTTCCATAAAACACCTAATTTAGATTGTCCATTCCTTCGAATATATGTCAAAAAAATGACGCAAATTGGCAAAACGCCTAATTAAAGTGTCGGTGTAAATAAGGCGTAATATACGATGCGAGGATACGTGCTTTGTTCCAGAACTGCAAGAATGTAAAACTTTTCACTACGATAACCGATTATCCCTTTATAACATCGAAGAAAATTGCAACGCTAGTAGATTCTTGCAAGGTTCTGGAACAAAGCAACGATAAATGAGCATGGTGGGAAAAATAGATAGTCAAAATTTTTAAAATGTTTTTTTTTTTCAACAATAAGTAGATTTTTATTGGTTTTCTTATACAACCAAAATCGAAAATTGTGAAAATATGAGTTTTTTAAAAATTTTGAAAAATTTTTCATTCAAAATTGTCAATTCCAAAAATGGTTTGACAGTTCATTGTCCCAGCAGCTGTGACAATGCGTCTGCCTGTATTCTTTTATCATGATAAAATAATGAATACATACGATTTTTTTTCTGACTAATGTGATCAGCTGGTTTTGTCAGTAAATAAACAAAGGAGTTTAGGTTGACGTAGTTCGATTTCATCCCATCACTTAAACTTGGTAACCCTTAAGTTCTTTTTTCTTTCACCAAAACAATCTATCCAAAAACGATTTTTCCCCCAAAAATATTCTTTAAAATCCGGTACCGACTCTTTTGAACCACTCTTAAACTCATAAAACTCCATTATTTTAAGGCGTCGCCAAGGTACCGAAGAATTCAATTTGGACGATGAAGGTCAGCCAACCGCCAGTTACGGTCGTGAAAGAAGTCAACCCCGAGCACCCAGTCGACAGCAGGAACGTTCCCAGCCATCTCAGGCTGCCAAATATAAACCAGCCTTGTAAGTAAATGACATCATTTTCTTACGAAAAAAAAACCCCTAGTGTAGGAATTATTATCTAAATTTAATGTTCAATAGAGCGTGTTTCGCAATAAAACTTGCATTCAATGTTGTTTTGTTTTTTTACTTTTGCTTTTCTTAGAGTGTAACATGGTACAATTAAGAAGGTAAAGTCATTTAAGAGAAGAATATCCAGCTTTGCATTTGCTGCAATTTACCCTGTCAACCATGGCAAAAGAAAACAGGTACATGCATCAACGCTTGGGTGCATTGATATGTCAAAAAATTTTTAATGTTTTTTCAAATATAAGTAGATTTTTATTTGTTTTCTTATACTACGTCATCCGGAGGCTATTATAATTCGCGTTTTTTCAAAAATTTTTACAAATTTAAATAATTTTTCATTCAACATTTTCAATTCCAAAATTGGTTTGACAGTTCATTGTCCCAGCAGCTGTGTCGACGCGTCTACCTATATTCTTCTACCATGCTGTCAACTTTATCTTAACACAAAACAGGTTCCCACCTCTGATTTGTGTGTATAGTATGTATCATGGTAGAAGAATACAGGTAGACGCATTGACACAGCTGCTGGGACAATGAACTGTCAAACCAATTTTGTATTTGAAAATGTTGAATGAGAAATTATTCAAATTTGTACAAATTCTCGAAAAATGCATATCATAACAACCTCCGAATGTGAAAATCTATTTATTAAAAAAAAAAATTAAAAAATGTTTGACATATCAATGTTCCCAAGCGTTGATGCATCTACCTGTATTCTTCTACCATGCAATGTATTTACGAATAGCCGTGTGGATACATAAGCAGCTTGGCATCATGGCTAGGCATATTAATGTGAAATTATAAAGGTGGAAATACATAAAACGCTTTTTTGACTGGCTTAAGTCATCGGCTGACTTCTTCGTAGTGGATCAAAGGAGTTTTAGGTTGACTTAGTTCGATTTTGGCCCTACGCTCCTTTGTTCTTTTCCGAAGAAGACGGCACAATGACTTATGCCAGTCAAAAAAGCGTTTTATGTATTCTCCCATAAAGGGTAAGCGACGGCAGGATTCGAATGCGGCTCTGGTATCCCTTTATGATATATCACAAAATATTTGCCATGCGAAGACTTCAAGTTGCTTATGTACCCACACCTTAAACATTTTGACAAGGGGATATTGTCAAACGCATTATGTGGAAAAAATTGGCAACATAGGATTGCATGACGTTACCTTTTTAATTCTACCATGGAATACTTTCTTATTTTTATTATACATTTCCTTTTATTTTAAAGCTTTTAGAAATGATTTTTGATTTTTTCTTTTTATTTCATTTTACTTTGTGTCTTACTTTGTGTTGTGTCCATTTTATTTGTCACTTTTTTTTTAAATTTGTAATCAATGTTATTAAATGTGTTGCGTAAATGTTCAATATTAGACGAAGACAAGGCACAGAAGAGTTTAATTTAAACGAAGATGAAGATACGGGCACATATGCACGTGAACGTAGCCAACCAAGAGCACCTAGCAGTAGTAGACAGCAGCCTCAACAACAATCAAGTATACAGGCCCCAGCAAAATTCGTACCGGTCTTGTAAGTCTGAAAGAACTTGCGACAATTTTAAGTGAGGTGGAGATATACAAGCAGCTTGGCATTGTAGCATGGCATATTAATGCCATATACATAAAATATGCCATGCCATGATGCCAAGCTGCTTATGTATCATATCCCATAAGGTGAGAATACATAAAACGCTTTTTTGACTAGCTTGAGTCAGCTGGCTTCTTCGTAGAGGAAGAGGGGAGTTTTAGGTTGACTTAGTTCGATTTTGGCCCAACGCCCCTTTGTTCTTTTCCGAAGAAGTATGCCTACGACTCAACTTGTTTTATTTATTTTCACCTTTAGAAATCTATTAGAAAAGCTTAAAGCCACATTCCACTTTTTATTAAATTTGAGTTCATAATGTACTCCCCTTTGATGTTTGTCTTATTTTGAAAACATAACTCCCTATTAGACGAAGACAAGGTACTGAAGAGTTTAATTTAAATGATGAAGATGCGGGCACATATTCCCAGCAACGTAGCCAATCTAGGGCACCCAGCAGTAGTAGACAACAGCCGCGAGCACCACCACCCAAAAGTGCCAAATCAGTACCGGTCTTGTAAGTTTGAAATATGTACGACAATGTAAAAGCTAGTGTGAACAAATTGATAGGAAAAAAATATAGTAAAATTCAGAATTGAATGTCTTCATCTTGTTATTCTTCTGCTTATTCCATTTTCCAAAATAGACGAAGACAAGGTACTGAGGAATTTAATTTGGATAACGACACTACAGCTCCCTATGAACGTGAACGTAGCCAGCCCAGAGGCATGGCTAGCAGTAGGGCCAATCAGCAACGTGGCCAATCACAGCAAAGTTCCAAACCCGTTATGTAAGTTGCTAATGTCAAAAACATGTTGTTTTAATACCACAACTTATTTCCCAAAATGTCCTCATGGAATTAATAAAAAAATAAGGAGAGAACCGTGTCTGTGGGTGGATTAAATTGTAATTATGGCTTGTTGTACGAAATGTTTATTTGAGTTCCCTTTTAATAAAGTTCTCTTTTCCTATTTACAGCCTGAATATAGCACACCATTCTTTTAAGGTAGAAACACATAAAAGAATTGTTGTTTCATCTGAATGTCAGAATTCGGCATTACCACAGATTTATATTGGACAAGTATAATTGTTTTAATTGTCATTTTGCATTTGAGAGTCGATTTCATTTGACGTTTACTCAATGGAATTGACAGTTGCAAGTGTAAATTTACTTTAACGTTATGTTTACATCCAAATCTGTAACAATGTTATCTGTAGTGGCATTCTCCAATTCATTTTTTGAGTTATCGACAAATATCGGTCAAGTATCTATCACACGATATGTTTTTACATATGTGGTGTCAAATTTTCCATATGTAGAAGTGTCACACATCGTGTGATACATAGACGACATTTCTGTTGTGAATTACATAAGTACATATGTACTTTTTCGATAACAGCGAGCCCTATTTTCATTGGAAAAATATGTGTTAATCAAAAGTGTTGTTTGTTTCATGGTAGAATCAAGAAGGTAAAGTCATGCAAACATATGTTTACAATTTTTTCAAATTTATGTTTTGACAACATCTGATTGTCAAAATATATATTTATAAATGCATTGTAAATACACAAATTAGAGATGGAAACCAGTGAACTTTGACAAGGTAAATTACAGAAAATGCAGAGTTGGGTATGCTAATTTGAAATGACTTTTCCTTCTTAGTCACAACATGATTGCAAGAATTATGTCATAAATAAAATGACAATTTTGACATGGAGCATAAAAGTGACAGCTCATATGTAAAATCCTTATCGTCTGATAGGAAATAAACATTCGAAATTATTTTGGTCGCTAACTTACCAAAAAATTCGATAATTAACAAAATTATAAGCATTTTTATGCGGTACCTCCAAAATAAGTTACAGAATCCCACTACTTGTATTTTTAATCCAAATTAAAATTTGATTTTTTTTTTCGATATCATAAAAGGAAAATCGCTTGTCGTAGGTTCTTACTACATTTGACATTCTACAGTTCTGGAAAAGGCTATCAGTTTTGAGTTTCCGACAAAAATCGTTAACATTAAAATGCTTATAATTTCGGCAATTATCAACACTTTTCGGCAAGTTAGCAACCAAAATAAAATCTTACCCATGGTAGAAGAATGTAGGTAGTCGCATCGACACAGCTACTGGCTCAGTGGACTGTCAAGCTAATTTTAGAATGTAAAATTTTGAATGAAAAATTATTCAAATTTGTAGAAATTGTTAAAAAATGCATATCATAATGACCTCCGATTGGCATCGTATAGGAAAACATATATAAATCTACTATTTTTTAAAGAAACATTTAACAATTTTTGACATATGAATGTTCCCAAGCGTTGATGCTTCTACCTATATTCTTCTACCATGGTGTTACTGTTAGCAACAGTGTTGCCAACCATGTTTGTCAGTAACTCAAAAAATGGGTTAAGGAATCCCACTACCATGGTAGAAGAATACAGGTAGATGGATCAACGTTTCGGAACATTGAACTGTCAGATTTTTTTCATTATTTTTCCAAAATAAGTATATTTTTTAAGTTTTCTTATAGGATTCCTATCAGAGGTGGTTAAGAAAGACATTTTTAAAAAAAATATAAATTAAAAAAAAATATTTAAAATTTTAAATTCCAAAATTGGTTTCACAGTTCATTGTCTAATCAGCTGTTTCAATGCGTCTACCTGTATTGATCTACCATGCCCATTGCAGATTTATTTAAATATCTGCTTCACCGTAAACCAACTTCATTTATCACAGCTGATCACCAGATGAGCTGTCAAAATATATTATTGCAATGGGTGTATGACATTTCAGAAAGCGATTCTTTTATGTGTTTCTGCCTTTTGTTGCTCACAACCTTGATTGGAATTGTTTGAAATCTCTTTCCTGTTGTTATACCCTTTCTACTACAGATATTTACCATTTCTGTCTTATCCACGTAAGGCTACGTTTACACCAAAGTCCAAGTAATCAACCGTTGGTGTCAATGTAAACATGGCCTAAGTGTATAACTCTTTCCTAGCTCAAATCAATAGTTGTGTTCCAGAACCTGCAAATTAGTACTAATTAGCGCTAATTCTGCTACAACGCGTTCCCTTACTCCAAAAACTAGCAAAACTTGCAGCTCTCTCGAGAAAAAAATGGCGCTGAGTGGTGCACATTTCTGCTTGTTTTAGCTACATGAATTTGGCCGAGCAGAAATGTGCATATTGTAAATTTGACATTTAATTGGCAGGGCTAACAAGGTTGAAAAATGTATTGATACATTTCAATAATGAAAATGATCAACTTGAAAACTAAAGGAAAAACTAATATTTGTCGTGCAAAAAACAAAAAGAGAAAATATGGAGCAACTGATGTATTCACTTTTGGATGATTCCAGCAGTGAAGAGGACTGGCTGAATGAGGAATCAGATTATTAATTATTATTATAAATTATTAATTTTAACTTATCGTCTTCAATACTCATTTTTTAAATGATGGCGCCCTTTTCAGTAAGGTTTCACCAGTCCGATTTAGGCTGTTTACTTTTGGAATTTTGACATTTTATCGCATTTCTGCTAATTTTTCGTTCCCTTATTTTTTGAGCAAACCTAAATGAGAATGACATTTCGAACTGTTCTCTCTTCTGCTAGTTTTACTACTAAAAAAGTACTGGAACACAACTATTGTAACCAAAAATGTGTTATTGAATTTATCCATCTAAGATTTGCTTAAAAGCTTTTATTTATAAAGTAACAAAAATTATTAATATTCAGGCGCCGGCAAGGTACACAAGAATTCAATTTAGATGATGAGGATAATAACAATTGGCGTTCCCCGCAAGAAGCCCGAGGGCGCAGTGAACCGCGACGTGGCGATATGCGTTCTCAAAGATCAATGACACCAGTTCTTTCGGCAAGACCAGATGTTCAGCCGGCCCAGCCCATGCCACGCACTCCGCCCAGACTGAAATCACGTGTCTCGCTGACCACAAGGGCTGTGGCAAATATTGTCAAAAACCGCAGTCAGGCTGGCAAAGGATTGTGAGTCCAATTAACCCAACTGATTTTAATGATTCTCCATCAAAACTTATATAAATTACAGAAGGCGCCGAGATACTGAGGATTTCGACATGGATGATGATAACACGTATAGCACCGCCTCAAGACAAGCCGTGGAAGCGTAAGTCCCCTCAAACCAGCTCGTTGTTATGTTTTACTGATTATTGTGATATTTTAGAGCTCGAAGAACACCGCCCCGCTCGGCTCCCCCACCACCGCCACCGCCCACAAACAGGTTCTCTCGTTATTAAAACAATTTTCTATGTCATTTTGGTTTTTGTTCTAATCCGTCTAAAAAAGAAACAACAACAGAAACAAACCTTTGTCTGCAACGCAAAGTTTAATGATTGCTCCCACATATCTCATTAATTTCTTTTTCTCTCTTTTCCACCTTTCACATACAAAAAAAACAACACCAACCAAAAAATCTAGATTTAGCGATGTTCGTAGTGTTCGCTGGACCGTTAAAGATGATGATATTGTCTTCGAAGATTGTGACTCACCGAATCCCATGTATATGATTCATGATCTTGACGATTAAAGGACACAATTTCCATCTCAAAAAAAAAAAACAAAAACATACACAATACACTACTTAGTTGTTTATGTCCATAATGAGAACTTGTTGTGTCTCTAAAAACTTCTAGAGATACGTACATATGTGCCTCAGCTATGGACCAGAATGATTAGGTACTGTATTTGCAAGCCCACATGCACGATTTTACCACAAAATATTCATTTTTTAAGAGGTTTATCTTTTTTGTAAGAATAAAAAAAATCTGAATTCTAGTTCTATTTTGTATTTAAGTTAAAATCGTATTGTAACTTAAAAAGTATATATTTACGGTTTTTTGTAGGAAATAAGATTATAAGAATGCCTAAATAAAATCGATCAAAAAAACAATTATCAAAATCGTATGATTTCATTTTAATACACAACCCTGTTTCTTGTTTTTCTCTGTTGATACCATGGTACAATAAAAAGATAAGGTAAGGTAAATTGTTTACAATTTTTTTCTAAGTGTGCCCGACTTGAATGAAAAATAATATTTTCAAAACCAATGATTGGAAGACATGTACATTGCGGCTCGCGTATTAATATTATTAACCAGCTTAGCCATTAAATTGAAAGATTGAACAGTTTGGATCATGTTTTTGAGAGAAAATCCGGTCATTTCATTCATTGTTCGAGCTATTTGACTCATTAAAATAAGAGGGAAAGTATGAAAAAAATTAAAATATAAAATTTTGAATGAGTTTGACAGAAAGCGGGCATAGCCTCAGGGCTGTATTTTTGTAGTTTTACGAAGCTGTTCTACCTCCTTATTGTACCATGGTTGATACCTAAACTCGTGGTAGAAGAATATAGGTATATCAACGCTGGGGAACCTTGATATGTCAAACATTTTAAAATGTTTTTTTCAAATTTTAAATTATTTTATATATTTTCTTATTCGACGTCAATCGGAGGTTAATATAATATGAGTTTTTCAACAATTTTTACAAATTTGTATAATTTTATATTCAAAAATTTCAATTGCAAGATTTGTTTGACAGTTCATTGTTCCAGCAGCTGTGTCAATCCGTCTACCTGAATTCTTCTACCATGCCTAATCTAAACTGTCTTGTCCAGTGTAAACACGGGGAAACCTTGTTTATATAAACCTAAAAAAACATTAGCTAACTTGTCTAGAGCCTTAAAATATTTACACAGACCCTCTTATCGGTAATAGATGGACAGCAACAAAAAATTGACCATGGGAAGTGTTAATTTATTTTAATCGGTCAATAATCACTGTTATAGCATGTTTCCATTGGAAACCGAACAACGTTGTTCGCTCTCAGAATTGGGTACACGAATTAACCCGTTCATACGGGACGGTTCGTAATTCATAGTAAAATAATTCCTTTTTACAAAATTTTTGTTTGTTGATTTTAATGGGAATTTATACTAAAATACATGAAATTCTCACTAATATGAATAGAAGAAATTATTGTTTTCCTTCCGTAGATTTATTATATCATTAATTTTACAATTTTCATTCACGTTTTCAACTTTTTGTGTAAATATTGACATTTTGAACATATTTTTGTGTTTTTCCATTTTTAAATTCTGCTAGAGAGACACTTGTCAAATATTTTTTCTGTCGATACAAACATTTTGAAAATATTGCCTCTTTTGTTTGCAGTTTTCTGTGGAAATTTCAACTCGTGGACCAAATGCGTACCTCGAATGAGAGAGAAAACAAAATTTACTTTCGTTTGAATGTACATACGCCATTCAACATTGTAGTTTTCATTCATAATTTTCAGTCTTCCCAAAATTTTTAAAATTTCATTAATTTTTCTGTTTTTCATTTTAAATGTCATAATTATTTTTTCGATAAATGCTCTCATTTGTTAGGGATGGGACATATTTTTTCGTTGTTCTGAGAGTGATTTGATTTGAACAACGTACAAATATGAGTGTTCGCTCAGGAAATTTTGTGTGAAGAATTAGGTAGTTTTTTCATTGTTAAGGGTCAAACAACGAATAGAGAGCGAATCAAGTGCAGTGGAAACGCTACATTAATGGCTTCAAAAAATCGATATGTAACCGAACTATTACCCCTTTTTTGCAAAAATCTAAGCCAGGCTCAAAACGCAACGCCGTGAAATCGCATCCATGCAAATTTCCAAGTTATCAATGCAAACTGAATTATCCTGCTTCTTCTTCTTCTTATACACAACAAAGTCAAGTCAGCGACGAAGGCAAAACAATTTCTTTACAAGAAAATCAGGAAAAAAGGCGATAAACAGTACAAAAAAAAAATTATAAAATAAATTTTATATTGACAAAACAAAAAACATGGTCTGAAAAACCATATTTTTTAAAAATATACTTGGGCGATATCCAAGTAATTCCCCTGTAGTGACAAGTGAATTATCTTCTTTCCAAAGAAAGGAAAAACGAACCAAGGAATAAAATCTGGAGAAAAAAAATAATATTTTTATGTGTGTATATAATAAAGAAAAATATTGGAAAAACTTATTTAAAGGTATTAATATACGGTTTTTTTTTTTTTTTTTTTTTTGGATTTCTCTTAAGAACAATATTGACCTGGATTTATCCATAAAATCTGTGAATAATAAAATGCACTTTGTGAAAACTTTGAATGAATGTGTGCGTGTGGTGTATGTTGTGCCTGTGTGCATTTACTATTATGTGATGATTCTAAAATCATCTACTAAATTAAACAAAGACGACAAAATATACTTGAACAGTGTTGCTCGATGCAAAATTTCATGCTTGTCCATACGCTGTCTGCTCCTTCTGCTGCGCCCCACACCGTACGTGGCCTACCTGCATAATATTTGTGGTGGTCATTTATTAATAACACACATAACAAGTGTCCGAAATGATGTCTAAATGTATTTCGTATGTCTTTAACAAATATTTATGTATATGTACATGCACCGTAAATAGTTTAATAAATTCGGGATCTTCTCAAAATATTGTGTAGGCAATTTGTGTAATAGTTGATTCACATGTGAATCTCGGTTTCGTTCGTTTATTGCCAAGTTCATTAACCTTTTGCTTTGTTAGCACCATCCCATCTAAACACTTGTTGTCTGGTTGTGTTTATTTCTCTATTTTGTTTACTTCTACCGGCGGCCCATCGATTCCTACGCTTGTCTACTTCATACACTCAGTACTCAGTATGCAAATGTTTTTGTTTTTTTTTTTCTATACCATTTCGTGACGTTTCGTTAGTCATTATTACCTGAAAATTACCGGGTGCTTCATTTGTTTTAATTTTAGTTTGACTCTGCATCTCGATGTTTTACGTTACAATTTGTTTATAATAAATAACCACAATATGTTATAGAATGTAAAAAGAGATTTGCAACCACACGGAAAAATTTTCCATTATGTTAACGTAAGTTTATTGCGTTTTGGTTTTTTTTGTGCCACCATGAAATGGGTTATCGATAATATAGATAAAATACATAATCAATGCAATTTCTAATGAAAAATGATTAATAATTTTAAAATTGATTTACTCCCAAAAAATGTTTATTCACCAACACGAATAGGCCAAAAGGGAAAATTTAGCAGAGCTTCTCCTAACAAAAATACGTTTATATGGAGAATTTGTGTAAAGTGATTCATACTTATCGAGGTTATTTCTTTGTGAGGTTTTTAGTGTTAAAACGGCTAAAATATATCTGTAAATTTGAGAACTTGAAAGTTTTACTATCAAATTGGAAGAAAACAAGTTAAAAAGTATCAGCCGGTTTTGGACGCAGATGTATACCCTCAGCTAAAGTTCGATTATTTACATATATTTTGGCTTCTGTGGAGTAGATTCCGAAGGACCTAAATAAATGTGATATTAATATTGCAACGTGCCAGGTTTGGTTACTTCCTTAAATTTATATGAGATATGTGATAATTTTTAGAAAATGTACCAGATATAACCGACCGAAGTATTCCATTTCCATACAGGGCGAGATGAAAAAAACTGCAACCAACTTCAGACTGCTGTCATTTCTAAGCCACTTGTCCGACAGCTATTACAATTATTCCAGTGATAGCTCATTATATTGTTTACAAGCATACAAAATCATTTTGGTGAGAATTTTCCAGAAAAAAAAGTTATTCGTGATGGAATTTAAGCGTTATAGCGTGATTTCTTTAGATTTGGCTGGAAAACCACAATCAGAGCACTCCAGCATTTAAATATGAATAAATCTTTTGTGTCTCGTACCATCGCTCGTTACCGTGATACTGGTAGCGTAGCCCGACTTCAAGGAAGTGGACAAAAAAAAGTGGAAAAAAACTGCAACATCAGTAGAAATGGTTCGAAAAGTAAAGAAGCGATTTGATCGAAACCAGCGTCACAGTGACCGAAAAATGACTCATGAGCTGTACATATCGCAGTAAATATTGAAAAATGAGGTCGGGGCAAAGCCATTGAAATTCCAAAAAGTGCAAGAACTTACACCGCATCAGAAAGAAAATAGACTCAAAAGAGCAAAGGAGTTGCTTCGCTTGGAAAACATTCATTGTCCAGCAGTTTGTAATGAAACAAAATGATCGTGTTTACCTGCCTTACTGGTCAGCTGAAAATGTGCACTTCCATCATGGCGATGGCGTGGACCTTCGACCGTGGCATCAGAATAAATGTCGAATATTATCGCGAAAATATTCTGGAGGGTGTATTAAAACAGGCAGGACAGAAATATTTTGGAAAGCAAGGTTGGAACTAAAAAGTACCAAAGTGTCAATTAACTCAAGCAAGCGCTCCGTCGGGAATTGGCCAAAATACCGCAGAGCAACATTCGGGCAGTGTGTGACGGTGTGACAGAGCCATATGGCTGAGGGTATAACAATATTATTGGTGTCATAATTACCATTACCATCACAAAGCCGACAAACTGACCTAGGACAATCCTCTTTTCTTGAATATAAAATTGTTGCTTTGTGCAAATTAATTAAAGGAAACACCTGTTGAAAACGAAACGAAAATGAAAAGAAAACAAACCATGTTGTTTGATCTACGCACACATACATTCACCTCACCCAACACTCCCAGTGTTCATTAACAACAACGTCACATACAAAAAGCATTCATCCATTCATTCATGGAAATTTAAAGCGACAACAAATCTTTTAAATCAAAGTTTCAATGGCTTGAGTGTGCCAAATGACCGTAAATAGATAAAACAGCAAACATTAAATTCTCAATTCTGCTCAAGTTGCATTGTTCCAAACATTTGTATTATGTTGTATTAACTCTTTTTCGTTTGGTTTGTATTCCAGTTTAGCAATTCCCCCAAAATGAGCTTCCACAGTCGCAGTTCTAGTGAAATAGACGCCATACCATATGGTGAGATCCTGCAGATATGTATCAAAGATTTTGAAAAAGATTTCGATTTTGCCGATGTCAAGGAAAAAGTACGTGATGTTTCACAAAAACGGAGTTAGACTATATAGAAAAGGCGGTAAGAGGGAACAAAAAAAAATGTTTTCCTGCATTCGTTTAATCTGTATTCATTCCACTTTTTTTATTTATTTACTTTCAATAACAGACAGGCAAAGAACAAATTCAACATCTAATATGGGTCTTGGTTGCCAAACCCGTGAGATAATAACACAATTTCTCGATGGCATTGTCTATGACTATAAGTGGATTGTGGAAAAAATTCAATGTGAAGTTACAAATCATAGCGAAAAAACAGAATTGTATTTGGAAAAATTACGTGCCATACAGAGCAAGAATGAAGCGCACACTCAGTACAATGTACATCGCACAAAGCCTGTAAGTATGCCTGCCATCCACAATGCTAATAACAAAGTCAATTTTGTTTTAAAACTTCCATGTGTCTTTTGTAAAAAGTTTATGGCACTAGGGCGAAAACTTCGCCTTTTGAATCCGAAAAAAAACCTACAACAGTGTTGTGCTCTGGGCGATCTGGGCAGTGGTAAAAAAATGGCTGGCAATCGATGTGTGCTCCGATTTCAGGGTCATGAAACACATGGGCTTTAACATATTCTGGATTGATTGTATTTATTGTACAAACCCTGAAGAGGATTACAATGCCCTCAAACAGCTGATGTTCAAATTAAATCCCGACTTTAATTTCAATGAGATTCAATGTGCCAATATTAAAGATAAATCTCAACACTTCAAGTTAAAATTAAACACTTGCTGGAATCGAAAGAATACAAAAAGTGCCTGCTCGTGCTGGCCAATGTGCAAAATACCAAAGCCGAGTCCGTTTTCAAATTGGATTGTAAACGCTGATAATAACTCGCAATCAGAAAATCTATGATACTCTGCCAGATAAAGTGAATTTGAAAATGAATTAACCGAAGGTTTGACATTGATGGAATTCCACACGTTACTCGATAAATAATACGAAAATATAAATGGCGTGAAGTGAATCCCGAATATGCCAGTGATATTTACTATGCCAGCAATGCCGATCCCTATATTTTGAGCATATTTGCCAGGCAATTGCAATATAAACGTTCCAATTGGGATGAGGGAAAAAGAATTTGGATAATTACAGTGATTCGAAAAACAAAATTTAGAAAATCCTAAACCCTATCTTGCCATTTCATTCTAGAATACCCGATGAAAAATTTCGACGTGATCTAGAAAATTCGTTACAGCTATTAACCGGACAATTGCAATTGTATGCCACATTATCAATATTTCCACATTGTGCCAAAATACCAGTCAAGGTAAGACAAGTAAAAAAGTTGGAAGTTCATCAAAATAACGACATCGGGAGGTTTCGTTTTATGGGGCTATACGAAGGCTGGACAATTTCTTTCATAGGCTTAGTATCCATTACGAACTTCAAATAGCAAATTTGAAACAATTCCGTGGATAATGTCGCTCAATCACCAAAATACCGAAAATAGGGTGGTCCCATTATATGGGGGTAAGCGAAGCCCTGGAACCTGCACAGACGATTTTCTGTCATAGCGTAGTATTCATTACGAACTTCCAATAACAATTTAAAACAATTCCCGGTGAATAAAATAGCTAAAATCATTAAATCCGAATAAAGGAAGGTACCATTATGTGGGGAATATACGAGTCGTGGACCTGCACAGACAATTTTCTGTCATAGGCTGTAGCACCCATTCGAACTTCAAATAGCAAATTTGAAACAATTCCTGAATAGGTAACTAAAATAATCAAAATACCGAATATCGGGAGTACCTTTATGTGGGGGCTATACGAAGCCCGGACATGCACAGACGATTTTCTGTCATGCTGTATATGCATAACGAACTTCAAATAGTAATTTGAAACAATTCCTGAATAAGGTAGCTAAAATCATCAAATACCGATATATCGGAGGTACTGTTATGTGGCTATACGAGGCCCTGGACCTGCCAGACAATTTCCTGTCGTAGGCTGTAGTATCTATTACGAACTTCAAATAGCAAATTTGAAACAATTCGGTGAATAATGTCGTAAAATCTCAATCCTAACGTTATATAGAGCCTTACGAAGACCTGGACTACATAGCCTATTTCAATACCAAAAGTCCTGCAGACATAATATACCATTTGATAAATTCTACTTTCTACCTATTCTAAATTCTACCTACTTCATTTCGTTCGGAAACTAGAGTGATTTTCCACAGACGGACGGACATCGCTTCATCGACATAGAATTTATCATTATATGATCAAGAATATATATATATACATATACTTTGGGGGATCTGAAATGTATATTTCGAGGTGTTACAAACGGAAGAACAAACTTAATATCCCTCCCTACTATGGTGGAGGGTATAAAAATGTAGCTAAATTAGGAATCAGTAAAAGAAGTTTATTATGTCTCATTGTTGGGGAAAAGGCACGTGCGCACGTGTTCTTATCCAAAAGAACTAGTTATGTACAATTAGTAATTTTAAAATTAATTTGTTCTTTTTTTTTTTTTTTTCTTATTCCCCTACCCCCCCGCTTTTGGCCAACCTGTTGCAAAAAAATCTCTCCGATACGGAAAAAATCATAGAAAAGCTCCACAGTAATCGTTTCTTGAAAAGGAATTTATTGAGTGATGATGATACCACAGTCTGTAGCTTACGTTATATATCTACAGTTCGTACATTAAAAACTGTCCCAGCATTCAAAATCTTATCAATGCCCAGCAATTGCATCGTGCCGTAATCGATATTACAAGTAGGTAATTGCTACCAACTACAATTCGATCACAACATTAATTTGCAAAATGTTCTTATGATTTCAAAGGGTGAAGAACATTTGGATATACGCATAGATGTGGACTTGTATTTTGCTCCCG